TGATGATGATGATGATGATGATGATGATGATGATGATGATGACGATGATGATGATGATGATGATGATGATGATGGTTATGATGATGATGATGCCGATGACGATGATGATGTCGATGCTGCTGCTGATGATGATGATGCTGATGATGATGATGATGGCGGCCCCACCAGGGCCACGGCCCTGGCGGGCATGGCGCAAGCCTGGCGGGGGCACATCAACACGTTCATATCTGCGGAGGCCCCCGCCAGGACGATCGTGCAATTCCAGGCCCAGAGTTGAAAGTCGACCCCACTCATCCTGTTTGATTGCTCCCGCTCTGACTTCCCAGGTATTGCAATGTGGTGCAAGATCCACATATTATTCCTTGGAGATGGTGCGCCGTTTGCCATCTAGGCGCGCCCCAATCGCATCACAGCGTTATATGTTATAACCAGAATAAGGACGAGGAGGAGGGGCGAATAGGCGGGCGAGGGGAAGGAAGGAGGACGGGAGGGAAGGAAGGAGAGTAAAGAGTGACCGAAGGACGGAGGGATGGAGGCAGGGAGGGGGCAAGGGAGAGAGAGGGCGAGGGAGGGGAAAGAAAGGAGGGAGTAGGAAGGGAGAAAAGGACGAATTCCTGCGGAGGAAGGCTGAGGAGGAGGGGATGCACCGATTTCACACGCAATTTCACACGCGTGTGAAAATGCGTGTGAATTCTCACCCCTCCACCGCGAAGGCTGTCGCGACAGCTTCGTCTGAGATGCATATATAGGCTGCAGAGCTGGCCCTGCTAGTGCACGCGTCGTGCTCCCTCGCTGTCTCTCCGCCATCGTCGACTTCGTCGCCGTCGCCGTCGCCCACAAGCAACGTTTTTACACAGTTTGATTGCTGACGCCAACACGTTATCCTCTAGACTCGTCTTCCGCTCGGATCCGCCCTTGCCTCGACAATCGAGGCCGCAAGTAATTAGCTGTGTCATCGACTCACCGCCTGGCCGCGCCAACGGGTGGACTTAACGGAGAGGGGTGACGATGGCGCGCCTCAGGATGAGGAGGAGGAAGAGGAGGAGGAGGAGGAGGAGGAGGAGGAGGAGGACGAGGAGGAGGAGGAGAAGGAGGAGGAGGAGGAAGACTAGGGCGAGGAGAAACACGAAGAGGGAGAGGGGCAGGAGGAAGAGGAGGAGGAGGAGGAGGGGCAGGAGTAGGAGGAGGAGGGCGATGACGAGGAGGATCAGGAAGAGGACAAGGGAAAACGTGATCGAGGAGGACGAAGACAAGGGGGAGGAGGGGAAGCGGAGGAGGAGGAGGCCGACGAATTCAGAGGAGAGGCGTAGGATCAGAAGGGGAGCAAGAGATAAGTATACGAAAAGAGATTGGCGGGAGAGGCGGAGGAGACGAGGAGAAGGAGGACGACAAGGAACAGGAGGAGGGGGAGGAGGAGGAGGAGGGCAAGGAACCAACACGACTACAAACGAGGGCAACGTTCCCTCTATATTCTTTTTTCCGTTCTCCAGATCTTCCGACACCTCCTCATTCTCATGTTCCTTCTTTCCCATCTTCTCCCCAAGTTCCTCCTCCACCTCCTTTTCTCTTCGTCCTCGTCGTCGTCGTCGCCCTTCCCCTCCTCATTTTCCTGCTCGTCCTCCTCCTCCCTCTCCCTGGCCCGTCCCCTTGGCGCTGGCTGTGGCGGTGAGCGGGCGCTGCCCGAGCCATTCGGCCGCGGCGCCGCGGCCGCGAACGCGGGCCCCGCGCGCGCAGCCGCCAGAGCCGCAGAGAGCAGCAGAAGGCAGAAGACCGCCAAGGAAACCAAGGAGGAGGAGAGGAGAGGAGAGGCGAGGCGAGGAGAGGAGAGGCGAGGAGAGGAGAGGAGAGGAGAGGAGAGGAAAGGAGAGGAGAGAGAACGGAAAAGGAGGAGAAGGAAAAGGAAGGGAAGGGGGAGGAGGAGAGGGGAGGAGAAGAAAAGAGCGCAAGCAACCAAGAACATAAGTGTAAGGATATATGTATGTACATATATATATATATGGATTATATATGCAGCTAGCTCAAGCCTTGACGCATGTCAGTGCAAAACATACTCATGCTGCGCACGTGATAATTATCTAGCCGTGAAAATCGAGAGCTCTAGATTTATATGTTGTATACTCCGGAGATTCTCAAGAGTTTGGATCTCAGGGTCGAAGCCGAGACTCGGGTGGCGGGGGTCTCCGCGGAAGCCTTCTGGCACCCGCAATGCAGTGGGCCAGACCTGCCTGGCGAGTGCTCTCTGCGACTCTTCCACGATGCGTCGGCGTTGTCCCCGCGGGGGCTTTTTACGCTTATTTCCGACGTGGTCGCAGGGGCAATGTTTTCGCGTAAGTGCATTGGACCTCAGTTTTCTGACGAACTTCTAGGTTTTTTCTGGCTCGCATCGGAGCGCCCCAGACTCTGCGGGGCCCCGATGCGCAGGCATTGTGGTCGAAGTCCCCGATGCGTGTTTCTGCTACCAAGCAGCGCCGGCCCCCCGCGTCCGACCGCGCCTTGCCAGGCTTAGTGGAGCACGGAAGAACACGCGCATCGGTCCACGCAGTTGGGCCATCTTGCCGCCGCGCCGCCAGACCTCGAAGTAGAATTTTGACATGCGCGGTCTGTGCGAACGCTGCTTGGGGGCCTCGCGTGCGCGACCACCGGCGCCAGAGGCGCATGCTGCTCCAGCAGCTGGCCGCCGCCTTTCGCCCGCTCGATGCCTTCGTTGAAGCAGCGGCGCGTGTCTGCGCCGGCCGCGCCAGGTCTCCCCGGTCCCCACTGCCACACTCATCTGCCTGATGGGCTGGCCGGACCGTGGTCTGCCGTGTTGTCTCGTGCGCGGGTTCGAGCTCACGGCGGCGGCGCGGACGTCTGGGGTTCGCAGGCCCTGCGAGACAAGGTCCACAGGACAGAACGCACCAGCCCAAGTGAGCGAGACACTCAGAGGGCCAGCCGCGGCAACGCACGCTCGGAACCTGGAGCGCGGCATGCGGCCTGGGCCGTTGAATCGCGCGATCTACGATCTCACTGTCGAGGAGATCCGCGCTGGTTTGGCGGAGCTTTTCGTAAGCCGCGCCGACCTCGACTGACGATTTGGCGTCGGGGGTTACTGGCCTTGCCTCGTCGCGCTATCTGGCAACGCGAGACGTCGCGAATGGTCGACGACGGGAAGCGTGCTCGCACCATTGTTTTGTCGTTCGCGTCCGAGACGTTGGTCTCAGCGCCGTCAGAACTGTTCATGCTAACCGCGCGCGCCTTTGCGATGGAAGCGATTGAGCATGGTGGGAGTTTCCCCTCGTGGTTCGTGCTGCGATCCTCCTAGTCCTCCTCCCTCCTCCTCCTCCTCCTCCTCATCCTCCTCCTCCTCCTCCCTCTTCCTCCTCCTCCCTCCTCCGCCTCCCCCTCCCCCTCCTCCACCTCCTCCTCCTTTTCCTCCTCCTCCTCCTCCTCCCCCTCGGTTCGCCTACGGCCCCCAAGGGGCCGTGCAGCTCGCCCCCCCAGTAGCGCCCGTTACCGCCGCGAGTGCCAAATTCTCTCGTGGAGCTTGTTTTTTCTAAGCCTCCCAGGTGGGATCCGAGCAAATGGGGTCGGAGGATGTGCGGCTCGGCGTGGGACCTGATTTTCTCGACGCCGACGTCGCCGATGCATCGCCGATGCTTCGGCGATGCGGTGCGACCCTCCGACGCCATGTGCTCGTACCCCATCTAGGAGGCATCTGGGTCCTCAGGACGCTCGGAGACCGTTCTTTCACCCCCCGGCGATAGCGGGCATGACCAGGGGGGAGGGGGAGAGGGGGCCGGCCATGTCACGATTCGCGGCGGCGCCGTCTTCGAACGCTTAAGAAAGTGCTAATTCCCAGACGGCGCCGGCGCGAATGTTTGACGTTGCCAGGGGGGAAAGGGGGGGGCCGGGGCCGATACCGCGCATCAAGGAAACGTATCGTTTTCGTCAGGGTGTTTTTGGTTCTTTCCTTCTCAGCGATGCGCGGCGATTTCCCCTGATCGTTAAGAAACTATTGCGCCCAGGGTGCGCTGGATTTCTCGATTTCTCCCCCCATGGCTCGTCGCCAATTTCCCCATAACACTCTGGGAGTAATCTTTTCGGGCCCAGATGCCTGGGGTTCTCCGATCAGAACCCCTTGCTCTTGGCTAAGAAACCCAGGCCATGGCCAGGAAACTGTTTGGATTTTCAGGCCTGGGTTTCGCGCGGGGGTTTCTTACGGCCGCGCCTCCAGTGCACCGCGACCAATCAAAGTGCCCTGAGCACGCCTGTCGCCCCCCAGCGGGCCGCCCTCCCGGGCGTTGACGGCTGTTCTGTTTTGTTCAATGTGCAGTTGGCCCGCGTCAGTTCTTCCGATAAATAGCGCGCCCCAAACATGCTCGTGTCGTGTCAAAAACACGACGGGTGGTTCTTGGCCGTTGTAGGTTTCCAGGGACCCTCGCCGGGCCACGGGACCGTCTTCAAACAATTGCTCGGGACGAAAGACTGGCTCAGGGGAAAGGGTCGATACGTCTCGGGACATTGGATTGAAAGAGTCCAGACGTCGCATGTCTGGGGCAGCCTGAGTCTCCAAGATGAAACAGCTGCGTCAACATAAACTTCTCGAGCTGCGCGCGGATGTTTGGGATCGGCGTTGGGACCCCTCTGGCGACGCCTCTGGCGCCGCCCCTGTCGCGCTCCGCACGCCGGGGAGGGAGTCCAGCGCAGGTCGAAGAAATTCGCGTGTGTTGTGCCGCTTGTTGTTCCTATATAGCCCAGTTCAGCCCCTCCGACTGTGCGCAGCCTATGTCGTCCCTCGTCGCATTGCTTAAGCCCTTGGGTGGACGAGCACACATTTGCGCTAACCCACACCAATACATGCGACACCTTGCTTTCGTTGAATATGGGGCCCTGGAAGCCCCGACCCTTTACTCAAAGCCAGCTTTCCGTCCCGAGTCGTATTTTCGTTACGGTCGTGTGGCGCTGCGAGGGCCTCCAGATGCCGCAAAGGATTAAAACATGTCAGTCTTGTCTTTGTTCAGGACGCGAGCATGTCTGGGCACGTTCTGAGGATCATCGATCGTCTCAGACGGCAGTGGCTGCTGGCTGCCAGGAGGGCGACGCGTGTTGCTTCAGGCACCACTTCCTCGACTCCGCGGAGGCTGCGCAGGCCCAGCGGCGACAAGCTGCCCGGGCCGAGTCGCAGGCGGCAGCCGCCGCGGAGCTGGGCGCCTACGAGGGAGAGGGGGACCTGCCGCACGCTGGCGTGAAGGTTCAGAGGAGGGTGAGTTGAGACACAGTGCGCGCATCAAGAAACCATATGCTTTTCGTCAGGGTACCCTGGGCTTCTTCGCTCCGCGCGGTGCGCGGTGACTTCCCGCGGCCGTTGAAGGAGCTGCTGCGCTCAGAGTGCATCCTCGCGCGCGGGTTTTCCCGCCTCGGTGTCTTGCGAGGGTTCCTTGCGGCCGCGTCCGCTTTAACAGTAGCTGGCCTTCGGGGGGCCCCTCGTCGCCACGGCTGGGCGCAGCTCGGAAAACTGGTGCGAGTGGGCTCTGGCCTGGATCTTTGGATCGACTTTGAGCTGCCGTTGCCTTTGCTCGCCCCGTTGTGGAAGGTGGACAAACGGCGCCGGGCGTGGAGCTTCGCCAGCTGGTTGCTGAGGCAGTACGGCAAGGATTCTGAGAAAGAGCGGCGCAAGCACATACTTTTGGAGCCCCTGGTGGGTTTTTCGGATCAGCGCTGGGCCCCCCCATGGTGGCGCCTCCGATGCCGTCCCCAGGGGGGGGGTCTAGCGCCGATCCAGGAAACCCGCGCGGACCTCGGAGGGTTTACGTTTATGCTGCTTCTTTCTTGTTCTGAGGATGCCCTCTGCCAGGGCGGGGGGGTGCTCGATGTGGCGGGCGGCCAGGGCGACCTCTCCTGGGTGCTCAGCGTGGAGAGCGGCGTGCCGTGCACGCTGGTGGACCCTGGCTTGCGCCGCGGCGGGGCGCTGAAGTCCTGGCAGCGCCGCGCGCTGCGGAAGAGCGGCGGGGACGGCTTTGCGCACGTCCCTGTGGAGTTCGGCGCGCAGAACTTCGGCCCCTCTCGGGGGGTGCTAAAGGCGCCACTGGTCCAAGGTGCACCCCAGCTTTTCGCTACAGTTCTGGGCTTTGGGGCCCTTGGGGCCTCTGGGCCTCGTGGGGAGCATTCTCTACGGGCGTCACCGGGGGGACGGGGGAGGGGGGCAGGGGACCAGTCACGTTACGAGGGGGGGGTCAGGGTCTGCACATACGCGTAAACGCTGACTTCTTTCAGGGTGAATCCAATATGGGAGATGGAGGGGGAGACATCCAGGAAGTACGGAACAAGAGGATCTGTGTCCATGTGTGTGTGTTTGAATGTATGTGTGTGTGCGTGTGTGCGTGTGTGCGTGCGTGTGTGCGTGTGTGTGTGCGTTGGTGTGTGTGTGTGTGTGTGTGTGTGTGTTCGTGTGTGTGTGTGTGTGTGTGTGTGTGTGTGTGTGTGTGTGTGTGTGTGTGTGTGTGTGTGTGTGTGTGTGTGCGTGCGTGTGCGCGTGCGTGCGTGCGCGCGTGCGTGCGTGCGTGCGTGCGTGCGCACGCGTGGGTGGGTGGGTGGGTGGGTATGTGTGTACGGGGCTGTTCATCATGGCGCGTTCGACTAAGTGTGCTCGCGATTGGTACCTCCACCAGCCGACCGCGCCTGAGGCCCCTCTGCGCCGCCGACTCAAAAACTTGTGTGTGTGTGTCTCCGTGGGCGCCTGTGCTCTGGAGGCCAGGTGGCCCTCTGGCAACGCCCGGCCTTCGGGCGGCGCAGCGCAGCCCTCCGACGAGCGCCCGCCGTACGCGCCGCTCCTGTGTGAGGCCTCGCTGGTGGTCGGCTTGCACCCCGACGAGGCCACCGAGGCTCGGCGGCGAGCGGGGGAGGGGGGAAATGAGAAGGAACCGGCCTTCTCAGAAGGCGGCGGGGCTTGTCAGGAGTCCCCTCGCGCCTTCCGAGAAATGTTATGCGTCTTCGGGGAAGGCTTCGAACTATTTGCAGAAGGCTGCGGGACTTCCGAGCCTTCTGAGAAGGCTCGCCCCGTCTCCATTCCCCCGCGGGCTTGCCGCCGGGAGGCCATCGTGGACCTGTCCTTGGCCAGCTTGCGGCGGTTTGCAGTGGCTTGGGCTCAGAGGGGAAACAGGTATCCATACCGCCACCCTTGCCTCGTGGTCTTGGGAGGAGAGGTGATGGTACCTTTTGTTTCCTCATGGGCCTATGGGCCTCCAAGGTGGGGTCCGAGCAGATGGTGTCGGGGGATCGCGCCGCATGGTTGGTGCATCGCCGATGCGGCCCGATGTGGAACCAGATTCTTTCTGCACGCCGACGACGCCGACGCATCGCCGACGTCGCCGATGCATCGCCGATGCATTGTCGATGCGGCGCCATTATCCGACCCCGTCTACCTGGACCCCATCGAGGAGGCCTCTAGGTAGTGCCTTGCTGCGTTCACGCCCACAAGTTTCCAGGCAACCGAGGAAGAACAGACGGCACAGACACAACTTCCGGAGCTCCGCGCGAATCTCGTGGATCGGGGCTGGGGCACCCCTGGCAGCGCCTTCGGCGCCCCCCTCGCGCGCTCTGCGCGCAAGGGAGGGTGGATCCAGCACTGATTCATGAAATTCGCGCGGCCCTCCGACAGTTTATGTTTTTATTGTTCCTCTAGGCAGGGAACTGCCATCAGGGGAGCCGGTCCGGTCCCTCAACCAGTTCTGCGCGTACCTTCGCGCGAAGGATGCTCGGATCCAGGAGGCCCTCTTGGATTTCGAGGGCAGGAACAAGGTGCTGTTCCTTCCGTAGGACCAGCGGAGAGCGGGAATGCAGTGATTCTCAGAGAGGATGTCGGTTCCAAAGGGGTGGGGGGATGATGGTTCACGAGCGACGAACGTGGCCATACCCACGCCCTCGCCGTCTGGACACCGAAGCGCGATCCCATGGACACGCGATCGCGCATCGTGTCCGCGCAAAGCTGCCCTGTGTCCACGGGGTCGCGGCCGAGGAGTCCAGACCGCGAGGTCGTGGATATGGACATGCTTCCCGCACGCTATAAAACTGGTCGAATGTCTCTTGGGACCTTCGACGGCGGATATCCCTGAAGGGCGAACGGCCTGCGCGGCGGCAGCAACCAAAGCCAGGGCTGTCACGGCATTTCGCTGCGGTGCAAAGGAGGGGATGCATCATCAAGGTTGCCCTTGCAATCTTGTTTCTTCGGGTCACCCCTAGCCAGGCCGAGGGCCCAAGGTTCTTGTAATGGCTAGGGGGTTATATCAATATTGTCTTCCAACACGGACCTGCATCCTTACCTTGCGTCCCCGTTTTTGTTGGGTGGCTGTGCGCCTTCTGATGGGAGGAGGGGGCTTCTGGGGGGACGCTCCAGACTCCAGTAGAGGCTCCAGGAGAGAGTGCGAAGCAGGGCTAAGCGGGGAAGATGGGGAGAGGATAGAGAGGGGGAGAGGGGGAGGCAGGGC